CTCTGACCCTAAACCCAAAGCCCTGACCCCACACCCCCAGCCCTGACCCTAAACCCTCAGCTCTGACCCTAAACCCAAAGCCCTGATCCCAAACCCAAAGCTCTGACCCTAAACCTGCAACTCTGACCCTAAACCCAAAGCCCTGACCCCAAACCCTCATCCCTGACCCCACACCCCCAGCCCTGACCCCAAACCCAAAGCCCTGACCCCAAACCCAAAGCCCTGACCCCAGCCCCCCAGCCCTGACCCCAGCCCCCAGCCCCCGCGGTCCCCCCCGGTCCGTTACCGATGTAGGCGCGCTCCTGCTCGCGGGTCAGCCCGGGCGGGATCACCGTGGGCATCCCCGGGATCACCGTCTTCTGCTCCAGCGAGTCCTGGTTCCAGCGGCTGCGCTTCCGCTTCCGCGGGAAGTCTGGGGGGAAAACGCCGCGGTTCGGGCAAAGCCGGCAGCGCTGACCCTCCCGGAGGGTGTTTTGGGGGGTCTGGGGGCGTTTTGGGGGGGTAAAAGGGGAAGTTCTGTCCCCCCGCGGGGGTTTGGGGGTCCCGTTCTGAGGGTTCCACCTTGGCCTCGCGTGGTCTGACACGTGTCCGGCCGGCCGGGGGACAAGGAGGTGTGGAGGTGGCAGAACCCCCCGAATTGGGGGGATCAGAGCCCGGGGAACCCCAAACCGGGGCGGTCAGAGCACAGGGACCCCCGAATTGGGGGGGATCAGAGTGCAGGGACCCCCAAAATGGGGGGGATCAGAGGTCGAGGACCCCCAAATCGTGGGGATCAGAGCCCGGGGACCCCCGAATTGGGGAGATCAGAGCCCGGGGAACCCCAAACCGGGGCGGTCAGAGCACAGGGACCCCCGAATTGGGGGGGATCAGAGTGCAGGGACCCCCAAAGTGGGGGGATCAGAGGTCGAGGACCCCCAAATCGCGGGGATCAGAGCCTGGGAACCCCCGAAGTGGGGGGGTCAGAGAGCAGAGATCCCCGAATTGGAGAGATCAGAACCCAGGGACCCCCGAATCGAGGGGTACAACCCCCGAAAACCCCCAAATCGGGGGGATCAGAGCCCAGGGACCCTCAAAATGCAGGGATCAGAGCCCGGGGACCCCCAAAGTGGGGGGATCAGAGCGCAGAGACCCCCAAATTGGGGGGATCAGAATCCAGGGAAGCCCCTGCACCCCCAAATCCAAACCCCGCCAAATATTCCATCCCCAGCCCACTGGACCCCCCCAGCCCCTCCTCCCCAAATTCCTCCAAAAATTCCATCCCAAATTCCTCCAAAAATTCCTCCAAAATTCCTCCAAAATTGCACCCCAAATTCCTCCAAAAATTCCGCCCCAAAAATCCACCCAAATTTCACCCAAATTCCTCCACAAATTCTGCCTCAAATTCCTCAAAAAATTCCATCCAGAAATCCACCCAAATTCCTCCAAAATTCCACCCAAAATTCCGCCCCAAATTCCTCCCCCATTTTGGGGACAGAATTTTTTCTGGCACCTGTTGAGAAAGGATTGGGGCGGCTGCACCCGAGGCAGGGCCAGGCTGGGATTTTGGGGTTTTTTGGGGGTCCCTGGGACCATTTTTGGGGTCCCTCGAGGAAGGGCAGGGGGACACCGAGATCTTGGGGATTTTGGGGTTTTTGGGGCTTCCTAAGACCATTTTGGGGGTCTCCAGGACCCTTTCCGGGGTCCCTTGAGGAAGGGCGGGGGGGCACTGGGATTTTGGGGATTTTAGGATTTTTGGGGGTCCCTAGGAGCCCTTGCAGGGTCTCTTGAGCAAGGGCAGCGGGGCACTGGGATTTTAGGATTTTTGGGAGTCCCTAGAACCATTTTTGGGGGTCCCTAGGACCATTTTTTGGGGATTTTTCGGGGTCCCTAGGACCATTTTTGGGGGTCCCTAGGAGCCTTTCCGGGGTCTCTTGAGGAAGGGCAGGGGGGCACTGGGATTTTGGGGATTTGAGGAATTTTTGGGGGTCCCTAGGTCTCTCTTTGGGGGGGTTTTTGGGGGTCCCTAGGAGCCCTTTCGGGGTCCCTTGAAGAAGGGCAGGGGGGCACTGGGATTTTAGGATTTTTGCGGGTCCCTAGAACCATTTTTGGGTGTCCCTAGGACCATTTTGGGGGGGTTTTTGGGGGTCCCTAGGACCCTTTGCGGGGTCTCTTGAGGAAGGGCCGGGGGGGCACTGGGATTTTGGGGATT